TGCGCAGGGAGCCGGGCTCCGAGGAAAGAAATGCGGCACACCTCGGAGACGCTGCGTGTTCTGTTGAGACCACGCGGTAAAGCGAGGATCGGGGTCGCGGTGAAGCCAGCAGTAATTTTTTGGCTGGTGGGGGGAGGGGAAGGTCTTGCCTTTTAATTTCATTTTAAAAAATCACTTGTGAGGCGCAGTAAAACGAGGTATGCTTGCAGTTCTAAGAGATCCCCAACCATGGGTTCTGCGATTTCGAGATCTTGCTTAGGGATTGGGCCTGGAGAGGGGAGATCTTGACTACTTCGTCTTTTATTTAATGCCCGCGAACACCAGCTGCTGGCCGTGAGTGGGCGCCGCCCGAGTTCCTAAGGGCCCTTGACCCCTGACCGAGGGTGCAAGAGGCCTGGACTCCTGCCGGCTGGGGATTAACAGTAGCCGCCAGTAGCGGCCTAAAGTGGTTGCTCTGCTGCCCCAAAGCAGCCCAAGGAATTCAGTTTTAGTTTATCTTTTTATTGAGGGAGGGAGGAGTGGATGTCCCAGTTTCCCTCCGCAGTGTCAGTTCCTGTGCAGAGAAACACCATAGGTTTTCTTCCATTCTGAACTGTCCGCTGTCTCAGAGCTTTTCTAGCACAGCGATTTTAGTGACTTTACACACTCTTGGTACAAATCCCAGCATAGTTTTGTGCCAACCCTATTTTTGGAAACCATTTGTTATGGAAAGTTAGCTTTAATGCTGTTGAGATTTAATTCTTGATTTACCCAAATGTCTTCTCATCTCTCTTTCCACTTAAGTCACCCAGTATAAAAATAGAGGAACTTTATTTAGTTTTTCTCTGTTGACAAAATGATTCCTTTTGGAGTCAAGATCAGGAATGGGTCATCATAATCCTTTCTTTTTCTCCCTGCCTCTCGTTTCCAAATGAATCCTCTTTTTCTAAGGTATGCTTTGCCCAGTCTTTCCTAAACTGCCTCCTTTATTCCCATAATTGAATGCTTTTGAATTCTTTGATATATTTTGGTAGTGGTCAAGGTTCTTTTGGTGGAATTAACATTTAGCTTGAAATGATCATATTGGTTCTAAACAGTCCATTTTAGGAGTCAGGTTTAGAAGCCAAGGATCATTATGCTCATGAACTGTGTTTAGACATCATTTTCAGTTCTGTAGGACTGACCACCAGGATTCAGTGCCAAGAAGTAGACTTTTTCATTAGTGGTAACCCGAGGCTCTCATAGGAAGAGCACTTCTCTGTTCATTTCTCACAACGGGTTTTATAGGAGGGCTTTTTTTTTTTTTTTTTTTTTTATATATCTTTATTGATTTCAGAGGGAGGAAAGGACAGGGAGAGATAGAAACATCAATGATGAGGGTCATCGATCGGCTGCCTCCTGCATGCCCCCGACTGTGATCCTGCCCACAACCAGGGCATGCGCCCTGACCAGGAATCAAACCCCGGATGGCTTGGATCCTGGGTCGATGCTCAACCTCTGGGCCACACCCAGCCGGGCTAGGAGTGCTTTTTAAAATTAAAAAACAAAACATTTCTGGTGAGCCTGGCCAGGCTAGGAGTGCTTTTTAAAATTAAAAAACAAAACAGTCCTGGTGAGCCCGGCCAGGCATGGCTCAGCGGTTGAGCATTGACCTAGGATCCAGGAGATCGAGGTTCAATTCCCGGTCAGGGCACATGCCCTGGTTATGGGCTTGATCCAGTCGGGGGCATGCAGGAGGCAGCCGATCAATGACTCTTATCATTGATGTTTCTATCTCTCCCTCTCCTTTCCTCTCTCTGAAATCAATAAGGATATATTAGAAACAAAACAAAACATTCCTGGTGAATTTCCAGTCCTAATTCACTTCACGAGAGGGATTTGGAACTGTTTATAGTGTGCTGATTTAACCTCAGGAAATACCTTCTAAGAAATTAGGACTGGTTTCTAGTTCTGGTGTCACTAATTCCATTTATTTGGAACAAGTCAAGGTCATTCGTTCCATAACTGTGGATTCCTCATTTATGAATGAAAATAGTAATAAATTGGGCCCACTGAAGAGAAATATTGGTTAAACATTTTAAAAAAATTTTACTTGTAATATTTACTTCCTTTTTCTTAATATATGTGGGTTTTTTTAAATTGACTTTAGAGAGAGAGGGAAAGATAAACATCGCTAAGAAACATCAACATTGATTGGCTGCTTCTTCCACACCCCCTGCTGGGGATGAGCCTGGCTTGTGTCCTGCCAGGGAATTGGCGACTTACCAGTGCATGGATGGGTGCTCAACCATTGAGCAACACTGGCCAGACTGGCTAAGCATTTTTAATACTTGGTTAAATATTATTAGTTGTCAGAGTACTGTATGTCATGGCTTTTGAATAGTGCTCTATATTTTGTACACTTCCTAAACTGTTCATGGATTAGCCAGTGACGAATAGCCAGCAGAGTAACACAAACTCCATCGGAACTTAGTCAAGGAATGACTTGCCAAAGCCAAGGCAGAGAGAGGGAGCAGCTAGGCTTCTGAATGACAGTGTTCATGCTGCTTAAGCCCAGTTACCAAGAATCATTAACTTTCTGGACATTGTTCATCAAATTAGATTCTACATGTGAAACATCTCTAAAAGTAAATTTTAATTCTGTGTTTGTAAGACTGCTTTTTAAAATAAGTGTGTTCATTCACAGACCATTTTTTTGAGCCTCTTCTGTGTGTCAGACATTATTTGTAGGTGCTATAGATGCAATGTATTCCAGTCCTATCCTTGAGCTCAAAGTCTAGCAGAGGAGATAAATAAGTAGATTAATTATTAAGCAACATAATAGATGATATAGAGATATGAACAAGTGGTGTAGGATCATAACAAGTGTAATAGGTAAGGCTAAAGAAATTGTGAAGTCCAGCTGGTGGAGCTCAACCGTTGAGTGTCAACCTATGAGCCAGGATATTGAGGTTTGATTCCCAGTCAGAGCACACTTGCTGGGTTGCGTGCTAGATCCCAGTAGGGGCCGTGCAGGAGGCAGCCCATCAGTGACTCATCATTGATGTTTCTCTCTTTCCTTCCTCTCTCTGAAATCAATAAAGACATTTTTTTAAAAAAAGACATTTTTTAAAAAAGAAAAAGAACTTTTAAAAAAAAAGAAGAAATAGCGAAGTTGCCATCCAGGGGTGGTTGGGTTTTGAAGGATGAGTTTATCAGGCTGTGAGGGAGGTTCCAGTCAGCATAGCATGAACAAAGGCATGTGGTCATGAGAGGGCTTGTGTGCTGTGTGGGTGTGATGTAGCATCCACCGTGGTAGAAGAGTAGGGGCTAAAGGGAATTTGTTGGAAAATAGGTCCAGAGAATTGGACTGGGCAGTGTTGAGAAGGGCCTTGTTTGGCCACAGTAGGAACCTTAACCATAAGCAGTGGGAAATGGTTAAAAACTTTAAAACAGAAGAGCAAAGGAGTCAGCTTTATTTTCTAGTAAGTAAGCTCTGGTAATACTGAACTACAGGGAAGAGGTTGGAGCTCGGGAGATATTTCAGGAGTTTCTGTGATGATGCTCCTAGTGAGGAATGAAGAGGGTGCAGAGTACAGCTGCTGACTTTCCAGACCACATTGGTGGGTCTGGGGGAAGCCTTGCGTGTATGTGGGCTGAGAGGAGAGAAGAAATGAAGGGTGACTTACATTGTAGCTTGGGAGTTAGCAGTGGGCTAATAACCAGTTTAGAGTTCATATAAGAGAAACTCATTATATTATTGTCACATCTTATTTTGGGCCAAAAATGGTTTTATTCAATTTGATCACATAGACTTGGCTTTGAATAACTAGTTTTGTTTTTTTGTTTTTACAAAAGTCAAATTCATTTTCAGCAGATGAATATTTTTATCACCACTGAGGGTTTTAAAAATGGTTGCTTTTTTTTTTTTTTAATATATCTTTATTGATTTCAGAGAGAGGAAAGGAGACAGACAGACAGAAACATCGATGATGAGAGAGTCATTGGGGATTGAGCCTGCAACCCGGGCATGTGCCCTGACTGGGAATCGAACCCCGATCGCCTGGATCCTAGGTCGACCCTCAACCGCTGAGCCACACCAAGCCAGGCAAAAATGGTTGCATTTTAAAAATGAAGAAGGTGCCCGGCCGCGCGTGGCTCAGTGGTTAAGTGTCGACCTAGGATCCAGGCGATCAGGGTTCAATTCTCGGTCAGGGCACATGCCCGGGTTGTGGGCTCGATCAGTGACTCTCTCATCATTGATGTTTCTATCTCTCTCTCCCTCTCCTTTCCTCTCTGAAATCAATAAAGATATTTAAAAAAAAAAAGAAAAAAACTGGAAAAAAAAAAAATGAAGAAGGTGGGCTGTGGGCTGCCAGGGTCGGTGAAGGATCTCAAGATGGCTGGGCGAAAATTTGCTCTAAAAACCATTTACTGGGTAACTTTTGGGGAGATCATACCCCAAAACCAGAAAGCCATTGCTAACACCCTGAAATGCTGGAATGACAGCCTCACTTCCAGGTTGGCTACTCTACCCAAGAAACCACTTGCCATTGACTGGGCTTACAAGGCCGATATACGAAGGCCAGCTTGGTAGGTGACTTTGAGAAGAAGTTGAATGCTCTGAAGGTCCCTGAGGACAAATACAGTGCCCTGGTGGATGCTGAAGAAGAAAAAGATGTGAAAAGTTGTGCTGAGTTTTTATCTCTCAAAGAGCAGTATTGAGCAGTACGAGAGAGCAGGAGAAGATGAGGAACATAATTCCATTTGATCAGATGACCATTGAGGATTTGAATGAACCCTTCCCAGAAACCAAATTAGACAAAGAGAAGTATCCCTACTGGCCTCACAAGCCAATTGAGAATTTATAAACGAGTGTGGGAGGAAGCTCTGGCCCTCATAAACTCTGGACATTAAAAATAATTTTATAGTGGAAAAAAAAGAAGTTGAAGCTCAGTGACACAGCTTTCACAGATCTAGAACTCCAATCTGGCTCTTTACTTTGTCCAGTGTTCTTTCTACATTACTGCTTTTTTCCAATCCAGAGAAGTTTCAAAAACAATTTGAGCAATGATTACGTTTGGGGGAAGACGTGTAATGCATTTAGAAGGGGACAACACTAACTAGAAATGACAAGTTCTGGGCTTATTAATTAAAAATAAAACAAAGAAAGTGCTGTAACACATATAAAGCACTGTTCCTGTGTGGGAAAATAAATCTTTTCTGAGTTCCTGGTTTCACCTGAAAGGCAAGGATAGATAAGTACTTTTGTCACGTTTCAGATAAGGTTATGAAGTTTGTGCAGCTAGTTTCTGTTAGGCCTTGTGGAAAGTTTGCACTGGCATTTGTCTGGGAAACAATAGCACTAGACAGAGAGAGACTGTAGATTCCAGCCCACATCTGCAAGCTCTTGCTGGGGAGCTGAGGGACTGAGGGACTGGACCTCGCCTGGTGTAAGGAATGCGAGCCCTGCAACTTCAGAGTCACAATTACTTCAATTGATGTAGAGAGATTTGTTCCCACTTTCTTTCTGGGAGCTTTGGATATACAATGTCCATATTCACCTCTTGCCTCCAAAGCTGGGGAGAGGGAAGAGCTGAAGGCAGTGTTGGTTGGATTGTTTGTCCTTCACGATGTGGGCCCTTCTCATGTCCTAGTGTAAAGCATGAGGTTCTTGAGATGTTGATGCATCTACTCTCAGTGGTGGGAGCACCATCATGGGTTTATCTATTTTTTTAAAAATTTAAAAAAAAAAATCTTTATTGAGTTCAGAGAGAGGAAGGGACAGGAGGAGAGAGAGAAATATCAATGATAAGAGTCATTGATCGGCTTCCTCTTGCAAGTCCCCGATTGGAGATCAAGCCCACAACCCAGGCTTGTGCCTTGACTGGGAATCAGACCGCAGTCTCCTGGATCCTAGATCGATGCTCAATCACTGAGCCATGCCCGGCCAGATGTGGGCTTGTTTAGACCACAGGGTCTTGATGAGATCTATGTCCCTGTGGTGCTTTGACATAGTGGAGACACAGTAGACTTCTGTAGAGTTACTGTATTTTATTTATTTTATTAATCCTCAGCCAAGGATATTTTTTTCCCCTTTGCTTTTCAGCAGAGTGGGAGGGAGAGAGAGAGAAACAGAAAGAGAAAAATCAGTGTGTGACAGACATGTTGGTTGCCTCCTGCATGTACCCTAACCGGGAGCTGGGGGCCAGGGATTGAGCCTGCAACCAAGATATATGCCCTTGGCCAGAATTGAACCCAGGACCCTTCAGTCCACAGGTGGATGCTCTAACCACTGAGCAAAACCAACTAGGGTGAATCATTGTATTTTCTTATTATTAATGTCTTTATTGATTTCAGAGAGAGCAAGGGAGAGGGAGAGAGAAACATCAATGATGAGATTCATTGATCAGCTGCCTCCTGCATGCCCACTACTGGGGATCAAGCCCAATGTGCCTTGACCAGGAATTGAACCGTGACCTCCTGGTTTATGGACTGAATCTCAACCACTGAACCACACCTGCCGGGCGAATCACTGTATTTTAAATTTTAGTCCTAGAGCTTCACTCTGATAACTTTTTTAAGGACTTTTGGAAAGGCTTGATATAATGATATGAGTGGAGGGCTGTAGGGATCGTGTCATACTGTGCACTTCCGGTAGATGGCCTGGGTACATCTTAGTCTCAGTTGAAAAATAGCAACTTTTTAGTAAAAAACTTGTGTGTCATCTTCAAGTACCTGTTCCTATAGGTAGTAAAGAAATCTTTGTGTTCCCATATTTTTTGCAATGTTATATGAGAGACTTTTGACTTAAGAGTTCATCCACGTTGTTAGAAACTTGATGTGGTTCCTAAAATGAGAGCTTAGTATTTAGCACCCTCCCTGCACAGACCCCTGTTCTTCCACCTTTTAATCCTCCTCTTGTCACCTGTAGCTAAGCCATATGCTTGGAGTGGCCAGTGGCTTATCCTGTTCTTTTGTTTTTTTAACTCATCTTTTAACCATCACTTTCTTTAAGACGTAACTTAAAAAGCCACTTATTTCTGTTAAACATTACCAACTCTGATAATTTTTTACCTTGTATTATTTGTGTTCAGCCAGAACTTTATTTTGCATTTGTAACTAAGATTTGTGATTATTCTCAAGTTACTTAAAGTTGTAGCTTTCCCACTGGAAAATGATCTCAAGGACACTGGTGCTGTCATTGTCTCGATATTATTCTTAATTTCTCCCTCTGCCCCTAAGTCTTAATACAGTGCTAGCGCAGAGAATTGGTCTCCTGAGATTGATCTCTGAGTGTTCTCTTGTCTTGCAGACCTGTTGGCCGTCATTGCCTCCGTGCCCATCTCAGTCCTCGGCTCTGTATCAGAAAGTAAGTTTCTAAATCTGTGGATATTATTATTATTTTTTCCCCTCAGAGAAAAGCAGTAGATTGTTGGCTTAGATTTTGGGGATGCATATGAAAGCAAGAAATTGTAGATGGTTGGCTGAAAATACAGTGATTGTGGTCACTATTTTTCTTACGCTGTAGTAGAAGGAAGGATAAGAATGTTTCCCTGGGCCCTGGCCCGTGTGGCTCATTTGGTTGGAGTGTCATCTCGTGCATCAAAAGGTGGTGGGTTTCATTCCTGATCAGGGCACATACCTAGGCTGTGGGTTTGATCCCCAGTTGGGGTGTGTGTAGGAGGCAACCAATCGATGTTTCTCTCTCCCTCCCTTCCTCTCTCTAAAATCAATTAAAATTTTTATGGATTTTAGAGAGAGGAAGGGAGAGGAGGGAGAGAAAGAGATAGAAACATCAATGATGAGAGAGTTGTTGATTGGCTGCCTCCTGCATGCCCCCCACTGGGGATCAAGCCCACAACCCAGGCATGTTCCCTGACCAGGAATTGAACCGTGACCTCCTGCATCATAGGTTGATGCTCAACCGCTGAGCCATGCCCGGCCAGGCTCTAAAATCAATTTTTTAAAACAGATTATTCCTTTATTTTTTAAATTTTTCTCACTTTCAGGTTTTCTGTTATATTTAACTTCATTGACTTAATCCAGTTTTTTGTTTTTTTTTTTAAATATATCTTTATTGATTTCAGAGAGAGGAAAGGAGAGGAAGAGAGAGACAGAAACATCAGTGATGAGAGAGTCATTGATCAAGCCCGCAACCCGGGCATGTTCCCTGACCGGGAATCGAACCCCGATCACCTGGACCCCAGGTCCACGCTCAATCGCTGAGCCACTCCCGTCTGGGCTTAATCCAGTTCTTTAGTCCTTCCTTGATAACTAATTTTCTTCTTTTCTGTTTAGTCTTTCTTCCTTTATTGCTTTTTTTTTTTCTTGTAAACTTTAATTTTGGGCAGGAATTAGTCTTTAAATATTTTTCTTCCTGCTATATTAATGTCTAGTCTATTGACTTCAACAGTTGCCTCCATGTCATTTAGGAAATACACATTCAGAAGAGCTGGAAGAATAATACGGTGGAGTTCTGTATACTGCTCATGTAGAGTCATCAGTTGTTAACCTTTTACTAGATTTACTTACCGCTATGTATTTTAGGTTGAGCTGTATGAAATTGGTATTTTTGTAGGTCTCAACTAGTTAATATTGATAATTTAATGTAGCTCATTATATACTTTATTATTATTATTTTCTCTGAATTCTTTGCAGTTAAGTTGCAGGAATCATGATGCTTCACTTCTAACTACTAATAAGAACAAGAACATTGTCTTATATAACACAGTATAGTTATACAAATACAATGATCAAATTCAGGAAATTTAACATTGATACACTTTTATTCAATATACAGTCAATTTTTAGATTTTTCTATTTGTCCCAAAGAATGTACTTTATAGAAATATAGTTCGCCTGTTCCCGTCGAGGATCTCACACGTTGTATTTAGTTGTCATGTTTCTTCAGTATCTTTGAATCTGAACTGTTTCTTAGCTTCTGTTTGTCCTTTGTGACATTGACAGTTTGACAAATAAGGCCAGTTGCTTTGAGGAGTGTCTATAAGGTTGGGTTTGTCCGACTGTCCTGATAAATGGACTCAGGCTATCGGTTCCTGACAGGAGTGGAATGTGAGTGATGGTGCAGCCTGGGTACATCAGGGGAGGGGCACATGAGACCATTTATCTCATTGTCAGTGATTCCAACTTTGATCATTTGAATAAGGAAATGTCTGCTAGGCTTTTTACACTGTGAAGGCACTGTTTTTTCCTTTTGTAATTATTAATCTGTGGGAAGATATTTCTCTGAGGTGGTTGGAGTCGTGTTTAGTGTAAACACATAATAAATTGTTGGACATAGCTGTTTAACAGTTGGCTTCACCCAGCCCAGTGACAAGGGAAACCAAGAAACTCTTCAGAGGCACTGAGTTGAATGCAGTTCTTGATTTTTTCGAACCTGGAAGGGAGTCATGAGGAGCCAGATGAACAGGTGGGAATGTGTGAGGTAGCACACATGGCCTGGGAAAAGGGTAATCCATTTATGTAAATAGTTTTGAAATACTATGTTTGCCCTGATGCCCAACCACAAAGCAGTTGAGTTTCTGTTGGTGGACCTGTGCATTGAGGGGAATAGAAAGAAGAGTTACCCTCTGACATGACCTCATTGGGTGGTTGAGGTTATTAATAACGGAGTCAAACTTGGCATAAAGATAAGGTGAGTAGATGAACATGTTTTCCTTATACAGCATTTCATCCAGCCCAGCTTACCTTTTTTTATTTTAACTTTTTGTTACATAAAAAATTTAAACCAACTTTACTTCCAATCAATTAAAACCTTCTGGTTTCATTTTAGTGCTGTTCCTTTGGGAACCACAGCCAAGGAAGAGATGGAGAGATTCTGGAATAAGAACACTGGTTCCAACCGTCCTCTGTCTCCTCATATCACTATCTACAGGTAAGGGCTCTGGGACCAGGGAGCCAGGGAGGAGTGGGCAAAAAGGCTGGATTGGCCCGTAGCCTCCCTAGTTGTTTCCCTCGGGCCTTTTATAAGATGACTAAATTCTATCTTCTGGGCTTAGATGGGTAATCTATCCTACAAAGCTACCATTTGGAAAATCCTGGTAAGTCATAATGCTATCAATTTAAAAAAACCTATTTTGGCCCAGCCAGGCGTGGCTCAGCGGTTGAGCATTGACCTAGGATCCAGGAGATTCTGTTTCGATTCCTGGTCAGGGCACATGCCCAGGTTGCAGGCTCAATCCCCTGTTGGGGGCGTGCAGGAGGCAGCCGATTGATGACGACTGTCTCATCATTGGTTTCTCTCTCTCTCTCTCCCCCTCTCCCTTCCTCTCTCTGAAATCAATAAAGGTATTTAAAAAAACACACCAAACAACTATATTGAAACAACTTCAAATTTGCATAAATGTTGCGGAAATAGTACACAGAGTTCCCTTATACCTTTGTGCAGATTCACAAGGTGTTAGCATGGCTGAGAGATTTAAGAACAAGTGCAGAAATGATGATGCCTGATTACTCCTTTATCAATTTCCTATTAAATCTGTAACAAGTTAGCACAAACTGTGTGTCTTAAAACAGCACATTTATTATCCAACAGTTCTGAGGTCAGAGTCTGACAGTGTCTCCCTGGGCTAAAGTCAAAGTGTGGGTAGAGCTGGTCCCCTCCAGAGGCTCCAGGGGAGAATCTCCTTCCTGGTCTTTCCTAGCTTCTAAGGGCTGCTTTGAATTCCTTGGCTCATGGCCCCTTCCCCCATCTTCCTAACCAATAGTGATGGGTCCAATTTGTCTCCCATCATCACTTTGACCCTGCTTCCACTGTCACATTTCTTCTCTGACTGTCCTCTTCTGCCATCCTTGCGGTTACATTGGGCCCATCCAGACAACCCAGGGAGGTCTCCTTATCTTAAGGTGAGCTTGTTAACATCTTTAGGGAGTCATCATTCTGCCTGCCACAGTAGTTCCTTACTACTTGAGTATGTGTTTCCTAAACTCAAGGACTCTCCATAGTGCACCCATTGCAGTCAGAAAGTTAACATTGCTCCAGTCAGCATCCGATCTCAGTTCCCACTCAGATTTTGCCAGTTGTCCCAGTAAGGTCTCTTATAGGTCCAGGGTCCCACTGGGGGGCCGTGTATTACTTTTAGTCGTCTTTTTAACCTCCTTCAGGATGGAACAGTGTTTTAGTCCTATCTTTTATGACCTTGACATTTTTATTTTATTTTATTATTTTTGAATATATCTTTATTGATTTCAGAGAGAGGAAGGGAGAGGGAGAGAGAGAGATAGAAACATCAATGATGAGAGAGTCATTGATTGGCTGCAGCCCGCAACCCGGGCATGTGCCCTGACCGGGAATCGAACCCCAATTGCCTGGATCCTAGGTCGATGCTCAACCGCTGAGCCACGCCCGGCTGGGCTGACCTTGACATTTTTAGAACATTGCTCAGTTGGATTTGTCTGATGCACTATTGTGATTTGTGCATTTGGGGCAGGAACACCTCTGAGAGATGCTGTGCTCTTAGCGCTTGTGTTTAGTCCATTACTGCTGATGCAAACTTTCGTCACTGGTTAAGATGTGTCTGCTAGGCTTGTGTTTATTAATACTGATTTTGTAGGGAGATACCCTGAGACTATAAATATTCTATTTCTCCTCAGACTTTTACCCACCTGAATCAGTTATTACTGTGATTTATTTATTACTGGGTGAAGCTTGCTTTCTCCATTGGTACAGACTCAAGTGTTCATAAAAGGAAAAACTTGTTCATTTCTCCTCTACTCTAATGAAACCAACTAAAGGGAAAACACCACAGTTACTTCTCTACTCAGTGTCACCAAATATGTAGGGGTTTTTCCCACACCAACCAGTTTTCCAACTCTGGACACTAACTGGGCATCCTATATTTCAGTTATGACACTATCTGAAGTTAGTACAGGCCCCATAGGTTAGGGGTTCAGTTCCACGGGACTGCCCCACTTCACATGACAGTCCTGGGTCCCAGGTTGTGCCCAATACTTCAACTGGCCAGGTTTCGAACAGGGCTTCCCATGACCCCCACCTTGGGTTCAGTGATTTGGGCTCACAGAACTTGGAAACATTAATACTTACATTAACTAGTTTGTTATAAAGGATATTATAAATCATACAGCTGAACAGCCAAGTATCCTTGTGGGTTCCTGCGTGTGAAGGGCCCTGAGCATGGGAGCTTCTGTCCCCATGGAGTTGGGGTACACCACCCTCCTGACATGAGCATGTATTTAAACCTGAAAACTCCGAACCCCATACTTTTGGGATTTTTATGAAGGCTTCATCACGTGGGCATGATCATTTATTAACGTAATCTCTAGCCCCTCCCCTCTCTCTAGAATAGATAGGGGTGGGACTGAAAGTTCTAAGCTAATCATGGTTTGGTCTTTCTGATGACCAGCCCACATCCAGAGTCACCTCATTAGAACGAAGGACGTGCTTACCACCCAGGAAATTCTGATGGGTTTTGGAACTGTATCAGGAACCAGGGTCAGAAACCAACTAGTAGAACAAAAGATGCTCCTGGCACCCCTGTCACTCAGGAGATGATGAGGGTTTTAGGAACTCTGTTTCAAGAACTAGAAGCAGAGAGAGGTAGAGATAGATGTCTTATTGTTTTGCCCAAAGGGTCACACTGTTAACGCTCATCTGTTTTGATGTTTGATTGTCCCAGACTTGGCCAGTGGAAATTCTTCAGGGTGGCTCCTGTGAAGTCATGACCTGGATGCTAGATGTGCTCATTGCTACCAGGCTGCCATTGCTTTTAGGCCCTTTCAGTAGATGGATCTAGGACATGTGTATGCACACACAGCACACACACACACACACACACGTGTCTGTTATCTGTCGTCCTCAGAAATAACACTGATAGCCGTCATATCAGTGCTTCCCAAAGGTCTGCTCCTGTCTGGCTCACCCAATGAAGCTGCCCTTGAGCTCTGCTGCCCTCTTTACTTGGGTTCCTGCCAGGGAGCCTGGCCATTCTTCAGCCACCTCCACACATACCACAGCCCTTTAGATTTTTTCCAAGCTGGATTCCAGAAATAATTCTGATTGCAGAAATTGGACAAATGTCCAAGATTAAAACAGGACATTGATAACTGATCTCAATCTTTACTACTTTATGGTGAAACTTTTTTTTAAGTTTTTATTGATTTCTGGCAGAGGAAGGGAGAGGGAGAGAGAGAGAAGCATCAATGATGAGAGAGAGTCATTGATCGGCTGCTTCCTGCATGACCCCCACTGGGAATTGAGCCTGAAACCTAGGCATGGGCCCTGACCAGGAATTGAACTGCAGTCTCCTGGATCCTAGGTCAGTGCTCAACCCCTGAGCCACACTGGCTGGGCAGAATCAATTTTTTTTTAAGGCATGAAAGATTTGGGGGAGGATTATAATGATAAAGAACTTTTCAAGTTATTCTGAATCTGTATTTAAAGCCCTGGCCTTTTCTCATGGGTCATATAGCAAATGGTACTGGGCTGGTGAGGTGAATCTTTCATTACCTTGTTTGTTCGCCCAGTTTTGAAACTTTAGACACCATTTGTGGGAAAAAGAGAAACAGCAGTGAACGTGAGGCTGTTTCCAAGGTGACATGTCTGGGAAAGACGTCTGAGATGTCTGGAATCATATTTTTTATTACTAAGTCCTAGAGTGTTTTTGGAGGAGGCATTGAAGTAAATGGTTGAGTTAGCAGTTTCTGAAGCACCCTATTTTTTTAAATACTTTTTAAAAAAAAATGTTTTTAATTGATTGGAGAGAGAGATAGAAACATCATTGATGGGAGGGAATCATTGATCGGCTGCCTCCTGCATGCCCCCTACTGGGGATTGAGCCCGAAACCTGACTGGAAATTGAACCGTGACCTCCTGGTTCATGGGGTGTCTCTCAACCACTGCGCGACACTGGCCAGGATGAAGCACTCTTTCTCTCTTGTATATTGAGTCATTTTATCAAAGCAAAAGTATATACAGGAATTAAGTTATCAGGATAAAACAAGTCCTTTAAAAGAATTTTAGAAAAAATTTTAAGGTGTTGAAGGTTCTTAAAATTTAAATAGATCCTGGCCTTGGTCAGTGTGGCTCAGTGGTTAGAGCATCAGCCTGAGCACCAAAGGGTCTCAGGTTTAGTTCCTGGTCAAGGGCACGTACCCGGGCTGCAGGTTCAATCCCTGGTCCCAGTCATGGTGCGTGCGGGAGGCAACCAGTTGATGTGTCTCTCTCACATCGTTGTTTCTCTCTCTCTTTCTCTCTGTCCCCCTCCTTTGCTCCCTCCCTTTTGTTCTCTCCAAAAATCAATGGAAAAATATCCTTGGGTCAGGATTAACAGCAACAACAAAAAAATATTTACAAGCCACTGTTGTACCTAACGAGTGAAATTTCTCTGCAGTGTTTTCATAAATGGTTGTCTGCCTATGCTTGCACACCTCCAGTGACAAGGAACTCTCTACCACTCTTTTCCAGTGGGAATTTGTCTTATCAGCAGGAAGAGCCTTATTTTATTGAACTTAATTCAAATCGTATCTTCTATCCAGTGACTCTAGTTGTACTGTGGACCTGTTGAATAGATCTAAGCCCATTCTTTTTCTGATCATTCTTTATTGATTTTTAATATATTTCCTGTGCTTATTGGCCAAGTGTATATCTTTGGAGATATGTATATTCAAGTTCTATGCTCCTTTTTAAATTGGGCTGTCTTTTTACTTTAAAAAAAAAACACCTTTATTTTATTGATTGATTGGTTAAGCATGAAGAGCCTATTACATTCATGCTGGGGAACACAGATTTGTTGCAGTGGGGACCAGGTTTGAAGCTGACCCCCACATCCTTCCTCAAACTGTGCTAAGGAGAAAATTGCCACCACCACTAACCCTGGGAAGTCAAGGCTGTGCTGCTGCTATTGCACTAGGAATGCGGCCTTTCTGTGACTTACTACTGCAGGAGTAACTTTGTTATTGTGGTAAAAGTATATGTCACATAAAACCTACCATTTTAGCCATTTTTAAGTGTACAGTTCAGTGGCATTGAGTACATTCACACTGTTGTGCACCCATCACTGCCATCATCTCCAGAATCCTCTTGTCTTTCCAAAATGAGACTCTCTCAGTACACAGTAAGTCCCAGTCCCCTTTGTACCCAGCCCCCAGCAACCTCCATTCAACTTTCTATCTTACAAGTTTGACTACTCTGGGACCTCATACAGTGGATTCATGCAGTGTTTGTCCTGTTGTGTCTAGCTTATTTTACTCAGCATGATGTCTTCAAGGCTCATCATGTTGTTAATGTGTCAGAATTCCATTCCTTTTTTTTAAAAAAAAAATATTTTTATTGAGTTCAGAGAGAGGAAGGGAGAGGGAGAGAGAAACATCAATGATGAGAGAGTTGTGATTTATCGGCTGCCTCCTGCACGCCCCCGACTGGGGATTGAGCCTGCAGCCCAGGCATGTGCCCTGACTGGGAGTCGAAACTCCATCTCCTGGATCCTAGGCCAATGCTCAGCCACTGAGCCACGCCCAGCCACGCTCCATTCCTTTTTAAAGCTGAACAATATTGCATGGTATGTATAGACCGCAGTGTGTGGTCTTACCCATTCACCCATCCATGGACATTTGGATTGTTTGCACCTGTTGGCTGTTGTGAATAGTGCTGGTATAGACATGGGTGTACAAAGTCTCTGCTTTCGTTTCTTTTGGGTATATCCCAGAGTGGAATTCCTAGATCGTATGGTAATTCTATGTTTAGTTTTTTGAGGAACTGGCATGCTGTTTCCACAGGGGTTACACTGTTTTATGTTCCCACCAGCAGTGCACGGAGGTCTCAATTTTTCCACATCGTTGCCAAGACATTATTATTATTTTAATAGGAGCCATCCTAGTGGGTGTGAGGAGGTATCTCATTCTGGTTTTGATTTGCATTTCCCTAATGATTGGGGTGTTGAGCATCTTTTTATACACTTATTGGCCATGCATATATCTTCTTTGGAGAAAAGTTTTTACTTTCCCGATGGTATTGTTTGCACCATTGCTGAAATTCATATATTTTGTGTCTCTGGCTTTCTATGATTAACATTCTACTCACAGTCAGAAAAGGAAAGGAAATGAAGACACTGCAAATGAGTAGGTATTTGTTGATTACTCAGTGTGCATTGTGCTCTTTTAGGAGTTGGAAATACATCAGTGTTTCCTGGAAAAAACTTTTTTTGTAAGGGAACTCATACTGGCTCCTAGGGATCATCTTTTCTATATGCCAATTAAAACAATCTTGATTTTCTACACTAGACTTTTGCCTAAAAGTTTGAACAGGAAATAGCAGGGATGACTTTGCTCCATGATGTCTGAGGCTCAGCTAGAAAACACAGAGGCTGGAGGAATCTGAAGACCCCCTTCCTCACACAGCTTGGTTCCATTCTGGCTGTTACATGGCCCTCACTTTCTGTCACAGACTGCTGTGGCCTTCTCCACAGGAGGAGGGATGCAGGGACAGACGGTGATTTGTAGCTCAGACAGTGTCGCTTCTGCTGCATTTTGTTTGTTGAGGCAAAACCAGTCGTGACATCCTACTTGCCTAATGAGCAGTGACAAGATCCTGAAACATCCTATGGGGCTGGAAATAACATCATGCTTCCTTGGAAAATAAAATCTCCCTTCCCTACTCAGTACTAGGCTAACCAGACCACAGTTTTACCCATTGTTGAAAATCAGCTAACGCTGGACTTCAGTGGTTTCTCACATCAATCCCATTTTCCACTGCAGTATCTCTATAAGATTCCTGGAATGGTGCATGTGTTCCATCTGTTAGCTCTTCCAGTCATGGGGTTTCATCCTCCTGGCCAGGAGCCCCAAGTGCATTTGGAATGCTAAGCAGTATCTTACTTTCCCCACCTTTTTTTCTTTGTTCTCTCAAATCACTATTTATTCTGCCTTTTTCAGTCTGATAATCATTCTCTTTGACAAATGGCTGAGCAGCCTGCCTTGTATGTTCACCCATGAACATATGCTGCCTTCCCAGTTAGGAGGCCGCCTTTCCCAGAGTACAACTTTAGAAGTCCCTTTTGGTTGTCTTTGACATTCCTGCAGGCCCTGCTTATCCTGGGTCCCAGCCTCCTGATTCCAATCCCAGTGCACATTGCTCTCCCTTGGCCTTGGTCCCCTGACTCTTCCTCTGCCTCTTATACTTGTCCTATGGAGTACGATCGTAGTTCATCACAGTGGTACCTGGCCAGTTTTTGTGGTTTCCTTGGGTATTACTCCTTTCTTCCTATGACCATTTTCATTACATAGTTGGAATCTCTCCCTGAGGTCTTTTTAACCTACTTGAGCTGCTTCCCTTGAGTGCTGACGGTGTGGTTTGATTATGCTCACCATTCTATCTCTAAGCTGACTTTTTAGGACGAAAACATTGCTGTTCTCCCAGCTCCCTAACCACCTCCCTCCGGAGGGAGCATGAAAACTAGTCCTGGGTACATCAGAGTGTTTGTCCTGCAGAAACACTTGGCAGGTTAGCAATTCAGAACATGCTTTAAAAAGCAGGTTGATGACAAAGTATTTTAGAACTACTGTGGATTAAATAACATACTAAATTGGTGGACTCTCTCTGAAGCAAGCCCATGCCTCTCTTCCCTCTTAGGTGTGCATTTTTACTTTTGTCTCCTAAACTCTAAGGGTCCCTGTGAGACTTGTAGCCAGGGAAGCAACGGGCAGTGGTAGCTTGTCCCGGGCTAACCCCCTGAACCTGTCCCCAAAGCCCCCTTTTCTTTGTCTTCTCAGTGAGCTGACAGCAGCCCAGCTATGGCTAATTTCTATAACGTTTCTAAAGAGCCAAAGCCTAGGCTCTCTTCTGTTGCTTCTTCTATCTTAAGTCCTTCCTTTGTTTAACTCTCTCTAGCTTTAATAAATGTACTCTCAAAATAAATAAAATAAAATAAAATAAAATAATAAATAAAATAAAATAAAAAACAAAATAAAAAACAATAAAAATAATAAAAAATAAAATAATAAAATAAAAATAAAATACCACACATACTAAAAAATTCAATGAAAACATTTGAAATTGGTGGTTTATTAAGGAATAAATGGTATGCTCAATTTGGGTATTTTGGGGTACAGTGTTGCATAGATACAGAGAACAAACTGATGGTTGCCAGATGGGAGAGGGTTGGGGAGGCTGGGTGAAAAAAGTGAAGGGACTAAGAAGTAAAAATTGTTAGTTATAAAAACAGTCACGGGGTGTAAAGTACTACATAGGAGATATAGCCAAGTACTATTGTAATAACTGTGGTGTCAGGTGGGTATTAGACTTATCGGGATCGCTTTGTAAGTTAAATAAATGTCTAACCACAGTGTTGTACACCACAGACTAATATAACGTTGTATGTTGACTATAATTGAAAATACATTTTAAAAAAGAGTTCGAGGATGGTTGTATGTTACATGAAACAGTGGATAAATAAACCTCATTTAGGTTTTCTTCTACTTCAGTTTTATGACTGGAGGATCGGAAGGCCCTGAGGTTGTGTTCCAGTGACTATTTTCTAACTGTGCAGCCTTCTTGGTGTCTTACTAAAGGAGGAGTTTGAGTTATCACTGATTCCGCCTTTCAGCTCTGTCAGCAGTACAGTCTGGTCACAGGGAAGGATACTACTTAAATATATCAGTGTTCTTATTTAAAATATAGAAAGTGGACACACAGGAATGTGAAAGCTGGTTGTTTCTGTGTTTAAATACTTCCTGTTTCCACAAGGTTTATATTCTCTTTGCCAGGGTGAACTCTCTAGGATGGTGTCATCTTTTCCTTTTCTCAGTTACCTTTTGTGTTTCTTTGCAGTTGGTCTCTTCCCATGGCAATGTCCATTTGCCACCGCGGCACTGGTGTTGCCTTGAGTGCAGGTATGTATGTCTGTTTTTGTGCATGCATACCCCACAC